AATTAAACTTTGGCGAAAATATTCGGTCCAATCAATTTTAATCAAAGACAAATTGAAAGAATTGTAAAAGCCTATGGGCGATAATTCAAAAGAATTTATTAAAATAGTATAATGACTACAATTGTTCAACAGGTTGTTTTTGAGATTGCCTGTATATTTGTCGAGTTTGTATTGCCTGGACTTGACAAAGTTTGTTTCGTGGCAAATGGTTAGTTCAAGTATTTCGATGGTATTGTTGCTGAGAATGGCGATGTCTGGTCTAAGCGATCTGAATAGCTCTGATAGTGACGTGTCGCATCATCTTCTACATCCGCGAAGATGGCGATATTTGGACTTGCACATGCTTTGATATTGTTGATGATTATTGAGAGAACTTTGTTGTGGCGATTTAAGTATCGTTTGAGTGCTGCCGTTGAGCTACAATTTGAGAACACGTGTTTATTAGTTTGTCTCACGTTGCAAAGAGGGCATTGTTTGTTTTGCCCCATCTTTAAAGGTTAGCGTTTGTAGGCGGTTGTTGTGTAATACATTTTCTTATAAATTTATAAAAGACTTCGGATAGTTTTACTGTTGATTTTGATCATTGTGCAATCTCTGAGTTGTGGATATTTTCATTTACTGATTTGACCAGAGCTCCTTGACACTGCAGTATCGACAGGTGGTTCAGGTCCCTCTGATGATGTTGTCGTTTGAGAGCTTCGAGTGCCTGCTTAATATCAACATTCTCCGGAATTAGATTGTCAACCTTTCTGTAAGTGTTACATGTTTCGTTCTAGAGAGATTTTATTTCATCGCTTGCGTTTTGTTTAAAGTAACCACGGAGTTTCATCCTCGCTATTTCAGCATGGCCTCCAGATTTGTAGGGCAGAGATAACATTTCTGCGGCGCAGCTGCTTACAGGCATGGTCAGCCAATCTCTCACGGTCTCTGTTATCAGACGGTCTAATGTATTTTCTATCCATGTCAATGAAATGTCGTACATACGAAGTTCAAATATTAATTGGGATGGAACAAATCGTCTTAAAATTTCAAGTTTCCACTGGACGGATGTATCTAATTCGTCAATCGTATGTAGTATTTGTTTTAGTTTATTATGTAGTAACTCCATTTCTTTTGCGTTCCTACAATCAAAGTCATAAATTTTTCCCAAATATGTGAAATGATCGTTGATGTTGATCTGAGGAATCGTCTCGTTTTCAATTGTTAATTTTGGTAAAAATTGTTCATATCTTCCGTCGATTTTTCGCATCCCAAATGTACAACATTTGTCTATTCTCATCCTCATACCCGTCGATCGGCACCAAGCTAGATTGAGATCAATCAGTTTTTGGGCTCCCTCTGTGCTGTTTGCAATAATTGCTGAATCGTCAGCAAATTGGAGCCAAGTTCGTGACTTCAGGCTAGCAGTCGATCTCCAAATGTATCCGCATTGTTGGTAATATTTTTGCTGTAATACTTCCATTAGAGGATTGAAGCATAAGTTGAAAAGCAAGGGGGAGCTGGGATCGCCCTGCAGTACTCCACGTTTCACCGGAATGGGTAGAGTTAAATTATTACACACAGATACAAAAATGGAGTAATCAGCATATATTGATCTAATCAAATTGCTCACTTGGTCCGGGATATGGTGATGTTGAAGAACTGATGAAATGAGATCATGATTAACTTCGCCAAACGCATTTCTTAAGTCCAGAAGAGCAACAATGATAGTTCTCTGGTGCTTCTTTGCGTCCCTCAGTAGATGTGACAGTAAATGGGTGTGTTCAGCTACACCGCCTACTTTTGGATAGAAACCTTTTTGGATTGTTTTGTTGATGATGTCATTCATTTCGAGATATTTGTATAATCTATTGTTGACAAATGTTGAAAATATTTTATAAAGAACTGGTTGAAGCGTTATTGGTCTGAAGTTTGCTGGATCGCTGGCGTCACCTTTTTTGTGAATCAATATCGTCAGGCCCCTTCTCCAGCGTGAAGGGATTGACGATGATTTCCAGCATTCAACCAGCAGTTGGTGCAAAATTGTGCGAACTATTGGACATTTTTTGAGAATTATTATTGATATTTGATCTAAGGGACAGGGAGATGCTCTTGACTTGCATTTGCGAATAATTGATGAAATTTCGTTGTATGTTGGGGGGTCAACAGAGCATGGAAATGATGGATCCGGCAGAGTGTGGATCCAATTTGGCAGACGAAACTTTTTGGTGTGCTGATTATTTAAAATATTTTTGAAGAATTTTTCACATTCTGTAACGTTGAACAGAGGTAGCGAATTAATTGATGGGTTAAACAGTTTTTTACAAGTAGGCCAAAATTTTTGTTGCAATTGATTGGTAATATCTGAGTTCTTCTTATATTTTTTTTGCGCTTTCAAAGCCAATAGTTTTGATCTTATTTCTTTACTAAGCGCTTTGATTTGCAGGTCGTAGTTGTGGTTGTTTCGGCCCTGGACTTTGAGTTGTTTCAGCTCCTTCTTTAATTTGTTGATTGACTTGTTCTGATCAACAGATGAAATTGTTTTTGTTTCCAACGTGCCATAGTTTGAAGCGAAGTAGTCGTATATTACTGATTGAAGACTGTTGGTGAAGTTGTCGATGTTATTGACATTGGGTAGATTTGCCCTCTGCGAATGGAAGTACGCGTTTGCCTCCGCCCATTGTTTCGCAGTTTTGGGAAGTTTTAAACCAGGAAGTGGTGTATCTACCTTGTCAGTATTTGGTGTTATTGAGAGTGGGACACGTAATTACGGCTGTGGAGAAGGTAACTTCGAGTTGGAACCTTCATCTGGGTCGTTTGTTGTATTAACCGAATTTGAAAAGTTTTTAAATATTTTGCACGTACGTTGGTGCATCCGTAGACCCTTTCTGCCTTTAGAGCTTCTACCACAGCAACAAACAATTGAATTATTGTCAATATTAATTGAATTATTATTATTATTTGAGTTATTAACTAAAATATTTGGAGATATATTAATATTATCCTTTGGAGAAACACGAGTGCAAATGTTATTGATGACTAACGTAGCCTTTGTACAACGCCAGGAGTGTCTATTAACATTTATAAAATATTTAAAACAATGTGGACTGGACACTTACTTGCATTAATTGTTAAAATTGAGTTTAAAATCAAAAATAAAATAATTAAAAATTTTAAATTAAAACTATTTAAAAAATTATTGACCGCCATAAGTTTATGCCAATTTAGAATCAATTTTCAAACTATTAAAACTCCATACAACAGATTAAAATATATAAAAAACAGTGAGCAAGCAGAAATCTGCCAACTCTCATGTTTCAAAGTATAATAATTTAATAATAATAATAATTTATTACCAAAATGAGAATCAAGAGCAAAGGGATCCTTTTTAAGTTCACAAATTTATTGAAACAATGGAGACATCCTGACAGAAAATTTGATAAATTTTGTTATAAAAAATTAAATTATATAAATTGCACTTTATATTAATTTTATTTCAATTCTTATTATCAAAATTAAATGTGGTCAAAGTGAAAAAAGTTTTTTATGTTTTATACCACAAATTGAATATAGCCATCATTTCATAACATTTAAATTTAATTTGTAGTTTTTTTTAACTTGAACTACATTTAATTTATTCATATTATATTTATATATGACTGCACTTTCACTGTTAAATACGTTTTTACACAATAAAAATGTTATCCAATGTTTCAGCATATTTGTACAAGTATTGTATTAACTCATTTATAAAATAAATTCGTATTATCCTAGTTTTATTACCGCAATATCCTTGATTTTTGTTTACAAATGCATGATGTGGTAAACAAATTTTTTACAGTTGCTATGACAGTTATTTATAGTATACCTTTTTTGGTAACATGCAGATTATGGGAATGAAGTTGAAAATTTTTTTCATGCATTTTTGATTTCTCTTGCAACTATTAATTATTATATATTTCGATAATATATTTGATTTATTAATTTTTATTTAACATTCATTTGTGAGCCATATAATAAACATATTAAAAAAAAACAAAAAATCAAAAATTCAATTAAAAATTTAAATTATAAAATTATGAGAATAAACAAAAAATAAATACCTCATTAAATGTTAAAAATGTTGGAATGTCAGTCGTCGACTTGTTTCTTGACGACAAAATTATAAACAAAACCAACCAAAAAATATGAAACGAGTTTGCAAAGAACCTAAAATATTTCTTAGAATACTTACACATTTTTTTATTTTTTATTTATTTGAACAAAGCACGGGCTATTGCCCATTACCGAATTTACAGGAAAAAAAAATACATAGTATTGCACATGCATACCACGATACATTTGTACAATTGCTTCACAAGTATAACCACGAAAATAATGCATTAAACCATGGCAGATTGAAAATAATTTCCAAAAACAATAAATTAACACTAACAGTGTCTTAAGTGTCACCATAAATGCAAACTTATAAACCAAGATATAATAAAATACTTTATCCATCTAACCCAATTAATCCCATCCTACACCTGAATAGCATAAAATTAACTACACATTTCCCATGCAATAGAAAAAATAAACAAACATTCATGCATCCATCTAATTTCCTTAACCTCCCCTACCCATATACCAACTCATATACCCACCTACTCATGAATTATTATATCAGATAATTATATTAGAACCTAGAAATTTCATTAACTATTTACCAATCAATAAAAAAAACCAAACAATCATATGAAAAACAATAATAATAATAATAAGATAATTATACATGTCCTCGAACGCACCTACGCACATTTTCAGTGCACTTAAAATTCTGGTCTTATCCTTTAATTTCCATGAACCATCATCAAACTTATCAAATTGTACAATTTTCCCATTTTTATAGTCTATTAATAAATTTTTATTGATTTTAAAAAATTTTATTAATGTTTTTCATTTTTTGATTGATTTATTTCATGCATTTGCATAATATTTTAGCGTATTTAATATCGAGCTGATTTGAGATCGTTGTGCTTGACTGTTTAAAACATTCGTGAATGCGCGTAAAAACTGACTATTTTTCCTGCAAGTCGTTGCTCCAGATTTTACTACATATTTAAATTATAAAATTTTCGATATTTTCATTTTTCATTACTATGTCTCATACATTGAATAATTATATAATTTTGTTATATAATTTTTTGATTATATAATTACATTATATAATTAGTACATTATATAATTACATTATATAATTATATATTATAACATTATATAATTCCATGGGCTGCGCACCATAGGAAATAGAAAAAAGCGGTTCAGAAATGCCCTGGAACTTATACGACATTATTACGCGGTTTAAAATTGTAAAACTTTTTTCTATTTTTTTTATTAACTATTGATTATTATTAGATGCTTTTGTTTCCTTTTTTCTATGAAGATATAATGTGCAAATAAAATTACAAATAGTTCTCATGTTTATAACATTTTTTAAAATAAAAAAAATGATATTTGAATATCATTAAAAATTACAAATAGAAAAAAATGAAGCGCTTCGGTTAAAAAATTTACTAAATGATAAAAAATAAAGCGCTTCATTGTCATGGTCATAAACATTAATGAAAGGCGGAGTCAAATTTATGTCTTCCATATTATTGTATGTAAACAACATAAGCGTGGAGTGCTAAGAGTTTACCGTCATTTATATATGATTTTATCGATTAATTATATAGATCATTACCCTGTTTATGGAATGTAAGAAAAACTTGTTTTTTAGTTGCTTCATTATTTCATTCATAATCAAATTCATTTTACTTGGACCTGGAATGGATAGAAAATTTTGTTTAATAGTTCCTACATAATCATAATGTATATATGTTTATGAATATGCGTAATTGCTATTTAAATTTGCTGATTAAATCAATTAAATCAATTATTTCAACAGAAATAAAAAAAACATTGGCATACGATACTTTAATTCAGAAATTAAAAGAGGTGAATCCTAATGCAAACAGGGATTCAGTCACAAAAATTAATAGTCTACGATGCTCTTTTAGAAAATAGATGAAAAAAGTTGAATCCAACAAATCAAGTCAGGCTGCAGAGGATGTGTACAGCCTACTCTGTGGTACTACGATTGTTTAACATTTTTAACCGACCAAGAATTGTCTAGAGATTCTCAGTCTAGCATAGACATTGTTGATGAAGAAATTGAAACATTCTAATCAATCAATCAAATTTCGTTAGGCGTCCAGAGACCTAGTTCTCCCGAGGTAGGATGTTGTTTTCTTTGCCATCAATTTTTTGCGCCAAATTAGGCGATCAGTTGTATACATTTCATTTATATTTAGAGCTTTAATGTCTTGCTCAATTGTTTGCGACCAGGACTTCTTTTGACGGCCTTTGGGACGTAAGCCAGGTACTTCAAGAAAAGTTATGGCACTCACTGTTTCCACTTTGTTTAACATGACCAAACCACCTCAGACGGTGTTGTCGGCATTCGTCCTTTATATCATCTAAACTAGCACGACGCAGGATTTCGGTAGATTTGATGTGATTCTTCAGACTAATTCGTTGCATTTATCGGTGCATTTTCATATCGGTTCGGTAAAGTTGTTGTTCCAGTCTGGTTGTCATTGGTCATGTTTCTGCACTATATAACATCAACGGACGTATCACAGATTTATAAAGTCTTGATCGTAGTGGTAGTGGGATGTCATGCTGCATCAATATAGGAGCAAGGAGATGCCATTTATTCCAGGCTGCACGCATGTGTGCTCGAACGGCAGCTTCAGCTGTTCCAGTACAATCCAGAACATCCCCGGAATATTAAAACGATGTGATTTTCTTAACCTTAATGTCTTCAAAAACATTGCTATTTCGAATTTGTTGTTGTGGATTGATGCAAGCAGGACAAACAAAATTGGACACTTTAGATAAAGTACCAAATATTTTTGAACAACGTTTGTGACACCACTGGTTACACTGCTGACACTTGATTGAATTGTTACCTACACCAGCTTTACAAACTGATCAGGGCCATCGTCCAGTAGCTGTGGATTGGATGGGTTCACCAGTGTTCATTGCTTTGGTTTTGCTGATGTTGACTTTGAATCCATGATCGGCGAGTCTGGTTTTCCAATCTTCAAACATCTGTGCTGCATTCTGCTCATATGTGACCATCAGCATATATTAGATTCCAAATGTCACAAGTGCGTATCGGTTTTGTGATTTCTTCCGTCACAGTTATAAATAACAGATGACTGAGAATCGAGCCTTGGTGAACTACAACGCCGATGTCAAATGCATTTGTGTTTTTAACCGTTGTTTTGACGAGAGTCTTAGTATTCATATACATTTCCATCACAAGTCAAACAAGATATTCTGGAATGAGTTGTCGACGTAGACTCTACTTGGTTGCTTCACGGAGAACTAAATCAAATGCTTTTTCAAGACATACAAAAATATGTAATAGTTGTTGATGCTTTGAGAGGTACTTCTCTTGCAGTTGCCGAAGGATGTGAATTGCATCAATTGTTGATTTCCCCGCTAGGAAACCAAATTGAGAATTTCCGATTGTAAGGCACGACGTTAATCTTCTCTCAATGATTTTCTCGACAATTTTCAGGGAATGTTCTAACAGACGTATACCCCGATACGATGAACAGTTCAATGGATCACCTTTGCCTTTGTATAGCGGAACTGTCATGCTATAGTTTCATTCAGACGGCATTGAAAAATTTCTCCAGATTTCACGGCGAAATTTAGTAACGTTTGGATACCTGCAGTACCAGATACTTTGATAATGTCGTTTGTGAGTCCAGAGGGCCCTGCTGCTTTTCCATTCTTCATAGATTTCAGAGCTTCTGTAAGCTCCTCTACAGTGATGTCTGGAATCTGATCTACAATGGGTGGAGCGTTAAAGTTGACATTGATGGGATTTGTTTCATTTAACAGACGGTTGAAGTATTCTCTCCACTGTAGCTTGATCTCTTCTTGTTCAAGAACCATCTCATTTTGTCGTTTTTGATACATGAGGCACCAACTATGTTTTTTTCGTATGCATTGCTTGTTTTGCTATACAATACAGAGATTTCATTTGTTCACCTTTGCTTTCAGTGAGCCACTATTTGCAATGATCTTCCGAGCCATTGCGACTTGACGTCTTACATAGTTGTTCTTCTCACGGAAAATTTTGTGGTCATCAACAGATTTTGATTTTTGCAATTGCTTGTATGCAACTTTCTTTTCAGCTATTGCATTTTGTACACTGTTATTCCACCATCACGTATCCCGTTCATGCTGGCGTTTTCTACCAGTTTTCCCACAAACTGTTGTTGCAGCGTTCATTAAAACGGTTTTGTATGTACTCCAATCTGTACTGGCTTGCGATTGGTGGTCTAACTGTGTTGCGACAATCTGTTGAAATTTTTCTCGATGAATATTGCTTTTCAGCTTCCACGTTTTGATTTTACGAGGCATTTGTTTAGACTTATGTTTTGACAATTTGACAACAAGGTCTGCCACAAGGAGTCTATGTTGGGCGATACATTTTTCGCCAGGTATAACTTTGACATTTTTGAATAGCCTTCGGTGCTATTGCTTGACGGGGAAGAAATCAATTTGCGTGGCCGTTGGTCCACTTTTGCATGTTATGAGATGTTCCAACCTCTTTCTAAAAAATGTGTTCAGTAAACAAAACCCGTGCCTTTCAGCAAACTCAAGGATGCGGTTGCCATCTTCATTCCGTTCTCATAGCTAAAACCGCCATGCACGTTGTCAAAACCATCTGTTTTCTCTTCAAAGTGGCCATTGAGATCGCCTTTAATCAGGATTGCTTCAGATTTTGGTATTGTTGAGATGGTGTCAGAAAGTGCAGTCCAGAAGTCATTTTTCATCTTTTCTGATTCGCTGTCTGTGGTGCGTATGCAGAAAAAATAGTCATTGTTTGATTTTCTAGGCGAATCTTGATCCACATGAGACGTGAGTTAATCCTTTTAATATCCAGTACTTCTTAGGCTACACACCACCATTTTTGGCCGTCTTTTGACCATTCCAGAATAGTCTATATTTTTCTTTGTCTGAACTGATATGACAGACACCATTCGATTTCCATCGGGTCTCCTGAAGGCAGCAGAGGTCAATCCTTCTACGCTCGAGCATTTCTGCAATTTTGCATGCTGCGGCCAGTCAGTGATCCAACATTGAGCGTTCCAAGTTTAAGTACCATAGATGGGCCATTCTGAATTTTTCTGCAACATCCCTCCGCTATTGCATACTTTCCAGGGAGTCTTAGCACCCCTTGACCACTTAGGCCTGCTGGACACTAGGGGCCGTTGTTTTTCTCTGTGATGGCATGGAATAAATTTTGGGAAAATTTTTTACATCGGACACCCATCCTGACAACAACAACCAGTTATAAGCGGTAGAAGCAGTAGGCCTAGCCTTTTGCTCAAAAGCACACAAGGCAGCGTGGATGCAGTTTCATCTCATGCCTAGGACTCTGAAACATTTTAATGAACATTAAAAAACATAAAAAACATTGGCATACGATACTTTAATTCAGAAATTAAAAGAGGTGGATCCTAATGCGAACAGGGATTTAGTCACAAAAAAAATTAATAGTCTACGACGCCTTTTCAGAAAATAGATGAAAATAGTTAAATCCAACAAATCAGGTCAGGCTGCAGAGGATGTGTACAGCCTACACTGTGGTACTACGATTGTTTAACATTTTCAACTGACCAAGAATTGCCTAGGGATTCCCAGTCTAGCATAGACATTGTTGATGAAGATGAAGAAATTGAACAAGAGGTTTACCAACTTTTTCATTTATTGCATTCGAACATTTAATGTATTAATAAAATCACTTTAAAAATGAATTTTAGGGGTCTAGTGGCCGAGTGTTTAGCGTGTCTGTCTTCACTTCCACGACCCGAGTTCGAATCCTGCCGTTTCTACAGGTTTATCCGGGTGGCCGACCTCCGGTCAACCCAGCTGTCTATCCTTTTGAGGTTGATAAATGCGTAAACGACGTAAGTTGTTGCATGTTAGCCGACGAGATGGCTCAGTGGTTCGAATGCTCTCTGAGTCAAACCTCTCAATGGCTATCATTATACTCAGCGTATAGATGCGATGCTTGCGCGTGCACATAAAATACATGTGTACGTCGTGTGAAAAGGACAAACAGCCTTTGTGGCAAAGATGGCTGCTTTAAATCAATGGTTGAAGATATGAAGAACATAATATAAGATATATAGATAATATATCTGTAATATATCTGTAACATTGTAAGTGGTTCTGCGTATGTCAGAGCTGCAATAATAAAGGCTAAAAAAATTAGTACATAATAGTATAATGAACATTTGTTAAACTTTAATCATCATCATATAATATGTACACGAATTTGTCTTGCCATGCAATAGCTCCGTCATTATTAAAATATTTGAGATACGCTTGTCGGACTGATTTGGGGTTTGCTGAACTATTTCTATTGTTTCCTCTTTGAAGTGGTGAAAAACAGTCCATATCTTCATGGTCATAATCATCTTGATTAACGTATAAGTGTTTGAACATTTTTCCGTAAAAAATTATGCAGAATTACGATCATTAATTCCAAAATCAACCATTACAAATTCATAATTTGCATTGGCTATAGCCATTAAAACCATATTATTGTATTCTTTATAGTTATAAAAGTAAGAACCACTATCAGGCGGAGGGACAACTTTGATATGTTTACCATCAACTGCTCCTAATACATTTGGAAAATTCCATCTATCCTCAAATTGTTTTGCGTTTGTTTTACATTCACATTCTGTTTTTGGAAACTAAAATAATTAATTGAAATATTTTTAATATACATTTATTAATGGATTATTAATTTATTAATTATTTATTATTATTTTGTTTTAGGTAAATTATTCTCTAAACTCTAGTTTGAGCATAAGTATAACGATTACATAAAAATCAACAACCAAATTCAAGAAAATGAAACAAAACTGGCCTGCAACGTTTTAAAAATACGACAGCACCAAAGTCATATTAATCACCTATCACTACTAAAAATAAACAAATTGCATTCACTCAACAAATAAATTATTCGAGGTTTTATTCAAATACACCTGAAACAAATTTTACAACATCGAAGCTCTAGAAAATTGTGAATTACAAAAACAGTTTTAATAAAAAACTATCGAACGATTTAAAATTTTTCAATGTTTTTAATAAGTTTTTATAATCCATTTAAATTAACATTAATCAACATGATTTTGTCTGACCATTATAGAGTAAGCTTAATAAATTGCGTGGTATTGCCATCGTACACAGAAATAAGTCTTGATCCAGTTTTTATATTTTATCATTTTCGTACTCATTCATAAATGGCAAGCTTCGATGTCTATCATTTAATTATATTTATTCTAAAATTTCATTTAACAACCTTATTATATTGACCTTCTTTGTTTATTACTTTGGCTTTTGAGAATTAATGATTTCCCATTATTATTATTATTAGTAGTAGTAGTAGTAGTTTTAGTAGTAATAATAGTTGTAGAAGTAATGGTGGTAGTAGTAGGAAAAGTGGTGGTGGTAGTAGTAGTAGTATCATCAACATTATAATTGCATTAGTTACACTTTCACCGCGGTTACATTTTTTGACAATGATAATAAAAGAATTTTTCAGATAATAAATACTTGAAATGTTCTAACGCCAAATTTTAACGCTATTATAAACTTGCTCCAGGGTTACTTTTTGTCCACCACGTCCAGGTTTGTGGTCATAAGTGGCTCTATATTTGAGTAATTTATTCTCTAACGCTCTGATTATCTATTATTGACCTTTTAGCGCTATTATTGTAACCGGTTTTTAAGATATCAGAGATTGTAGAAAAATGTCTTAATATATCGTCCTCAGCAAAACAAAAAATTTCAATGTTTGATTTTTTAATGATAGGTCAGTAAAACAAACTGCATACAGTAGATGAGTAATAACTATAATAAGTGACCCTAGAAATTTTACTCGGCCACTCTCAATGATATTCTTGTCATTGATAGTTTTATACCCACACCATCAAAATGTAGCCAGAGTGAAAATTTCAAACAAAAGCATTGAACGATCAAATTTTTTTTAATATTTGAAAACAAATTGCATATGGCAAGAGTTTACTACTATGGTATCTAAGTTTTACTTGTTAAAGTTTGATATATTGTTATCCAGTTTTATTTTTTAGTCGCTAGAGTATAAGTTGAAATATAAATTAAGTTGGAGAGGTATTGTAGCAATTAGGATATGACCTAATTTCTCAACCAATCAGACCGTTCAAATTTATTTATGTCGTAGTTTGAAACGGATTTTTTTTAAATAAATTTATCGGCGCGAACGTTGATTAGAATATTTAGAATTCATTCCCAGATAATAAATACTTGAAATAAACAGAGAAGCATGGCAACAGAGAAGCATGGCAACAGTGCTTTTTTGTTCTCTCTCTCTCTCTCTCTCTCTCTCTCTCTCTCTCTCAGAGAGGAGAGAGAGAGAAAGAGAAGACATAAAAACATTAACAAAAATCATATATGCATGTATATGTCTGTGCCATTCATTTTCAAATAAAACGCTTTGGAATCATTTACAAGACTGTTTAAATAAAATTGTACAATTGAACATTTATTAGTCTATTATTGTTCCGGGAAATTAGGGCGAATGTGTCATTCAATATCAAAGCGATCATACCTCCATTGTCTTTTTCCATTATTATTTTTATCATCATTGTCATCATCACTTTCATCATCATTATCATCGTCATGGTCAATGTTTTTGGGATCATCAATAATCATTTCATCATTTGGGTGGTATTCATCATCATCGTCTTCATTGTTATTTTTTCTACAGTTATCGACAGGTTATCATCATCGTTATCATGATCGTATTTACCATCGCCTTAGTCTTTCTTATCATCTACAAAAAATTAAGGTTTTTCAGGTTTTTTAAAATGTACTCGCGAGCAAATAATAATAGTAGTAGTAACAACAACTATAATAATAATTATTATTATTAGTCGTAGTAGTAGTATGAAAACAAGCACAACATGCATTTTACTTCATTTGCAGCAGCTGATGCACAGGTGAGCAATGTTAACACAGGTGCATGTTAATCATACGACGTGTACAAAAACATCACACTCAAACATCACACATACATATAAAAATGTATGTGTGATATAAAAATTACATATATATTACAATATATATATATATATACATTATATATATATATACGCACACACACAGTTTTATATATATATATATATATATATATATATATATATATAAAGCTCTGTTGCCATGCATAGACAGGCATACGCACGCACACACGCACACAGAGAGGAGAGAGAGAGAGAAAGAGAAGACATAAAAACATAAACAAAAATCATATATGCACGTATATATATATATATATATAATATATATATATATATATATCCACATACATACATACATGATTATTATGTATGTTTGTGTGTGAATTTTGCCTTCTTTTAAGTGTTTTCCTTAAATTAATTTCATTAAATGCTAATTAGTGAATAAACAAAACAACTAATTAACAATTCAATATGTATTCAGTTTTAATTAGATAAAAATTGAATTCAAGTTCTTTTTTTATACAATCAGTTTTTTGTATTAAATTTAACATCGTCTTAATCGCAGTAAAACTAGATATCTTTTTTCATTTGGACAATTGAAATTCTTCTCACGTAGGTAACTGTTTGGCTTACCTTATAATTTTTATTGTTTGGTAAAAAAAATCCCGGATCAAATAATGTTTTTATATTTATTTTACAATATAAGATTAAAATTTTATTTAAAAACACCCACCGTATACAAATATTCTTGGAAATAGCATAATGCAGTTGCATAACTATATTCAGTTAGCACATTTGTTAATTCTTAAGGTATAAAGTTATTTTTTAAGTTCTCATTTTATAATTTGCAAATTGTGACTGAATAGACACTAAGTCCTCTACTATTTTTTCTAAATTTTTACACTGTTGACAAATTTGGCTTAACGAATTCAGTAACAGCATAAATGACTTACTTTTTTATTCTAATTTTACGTTTACTTCTAAATTCATAAAACTTTATTATTTATATTCTGAAAAATTTTAAACAGCATTTTATAACAGTTTAAAAACCTGCTTTCGTGCTATTGCGTTGGTAAATGTTCTCAAAATACACGAACGATTATTATCTGACATTCGAAAAAACTAATTAGTTTTGGATACTAAGAGAAACTGGATGTGACAGCTACTTAACCCATTGATTATTAAAGGTATGTTTAAATTGAACTAATTTTCGTTTTAAAAAGTTACATTCAACTAGCGATCAAAAAATGGTGAAACTTAACTCTTCCAACTTTACAAAATTATTATTTAAAATTTTGTGATTTTCGATTTTTAGTGGAATTTTTAAGTACACACTCTAATAGCTAAAACTTTTTTTAGTAATTTATTCGGTGTGAAATTTCATTAATAAGAGGTCTACTACTAATTGTATCAGTTAAGTATTAAAGAAACATAAATTTGAATTAATTGGCAATTAATCAAAATAGAAGCTATTCGAATAAGTTTTTAGTTGCTATTTGAATAAATTTTTAGTTGCCGTAGCCTAAGCCGTAAATTTTCGTTAACTACCGGAAAAAATATTTACTTCAAATATTTGACAAGATTTTTTAGACTAAAATCAAATTTTCTTATCGGAGATCTCGCATCTTCAATAAAAACGTTAACATTGGCAATTTTAGCCGAGTATTGACAAATGTTATTCAATTCATGTTTTATGCTGTAGCAGATGAAAAAGTTTAATCAACAGACACTCTCAAATTTGCAGTATGACTGCGACAAAAACAAAAGAAATAACACTTAATTTTTTTCAACACATCACTTCTTTTCCAAACTTCACTTTTTTTAAGTCTCTTTATAGGCCAGGTTTTATAGAATATTGTATATATTTCATCTGTTACAAAACCTTTTAACTATATCATCTGGTTCATTTGTCATATTCGTCGTTATCTCTGCTGATTTGGCTTCTACCATAGCCTGATGTCTTGTTTATTTTTGCTTTGACTACCGCAACTTTAATTTGATTGGTGAATTCTTCAAACTCATTTTTCTTTTTTAACGTGTTCAAAACAAGTTAGCCAAATTTGTTCTAGACTGGCGATATTGCACTACTAGCTTAATTTTACGGATCAAATTGCACTGGTTACCAATTGGTTACCAAAATGTATAACATTTATATATGCTGCAACCAATTATATTAATGAGACATTAACCATCTTATAATCATAATCTTTTAAATCTTAGACGCCAGGCACTTCTTACTGTGCACCGCTTACGATAGATTCAAAAGCAAATTTATAACAACCTATTAATGAATCTGCTCGTGTCAACAATAGTTTTTCTTTTCGTGCTCATTCATTACAAAACAGCTTACCCTCATTTATTTGGCAAAGCTAACACTTCGTCTCTTTGTTTTCTAAAATCTCCAGTCTAACTGCTTTCGTTTTTTTAAACATAATCTTTCTCAACAGCGTATTTCTAATTTATTAATCTGTTATTTTTATTATTATTAAATATAATTTTGTTTTATTTTATAATATAAATCTTTTTTATCTATGAAAAAAGTTGTTTTGTTGTTGGTTCTGTTTTTTGAATTATATTCTTGTTTTTTTTAAATGTACGTTTAATCAATCATTTAATCATTAAGTTTATGAAGCGTTATTTTCGCGATGTCCAACAGCTCTCCTCAATGAACTTTGTAAAGAGATGGGTTTTGA